TTTGTCTGTCGTCGCCGGAGGGTCGGCGAAGAGCCCTGCTGATTGAAGTACGCGCGCTGCCGTGGCTGCCACGGCGGTTCGCTTCCTTCAAATAGCAGAGCTCTTCGGACGCAGCCACGGCCGCACCGCCGCCCGCAGTGGAAGGGGGTGGGGTCTGGAGGGGTAGGTTTCGCCGACCCTCCGACGACGACGAACAAAGGGACCAGAGCAGGTAAACCGCAGCGACCGGCGGCACAGTATAAAGGCTCCCATTTAAAGTTGTGTACTGCTAGCCTTGGCGCGTATGCCCTACTCAGCTTCGCGTGGCTGGAGTTCGGCGTCGGCTGCCGCAGCAGCCGCCACCCGCTGCACATGGGAAGGCCTCCATTCAAACCAATGCCCTGCTACGCGCCGCGCTGCTCGGAAGCGCACCGCCGCCGCGCCGTAGGAAGGGGCCTTAAGGTCGTAGGCGTTCGGCTTAGAGCCCCTTCTCACGCCGCCACCGCAGATCGCTTCCAAGCACCGCGGCTTGTAGCAGATTGTTGGTATGAAGGCCTGTAGCATTGGTTTGAATGGAGGCTTTCCAACGTGTGGCTGGCTTGCGCCGCTGCGGCAGATTCTCGCTGCGCGCAGTGGGAGAGGGCGTTCGCGCGACCGTAAGCGGAACACAGCTTTAAATGGTAGGCTTCCCACTGTGCGGCACAGTTGCTGCGTTTTACCTGCTGCGGTCCCTTTGTCCGTCGTCGCCGGAGGTTCCGCGAAGCATACCCCTGCAGGACCCATCCCCATCCACGGCGGGCGGCGGTGGCGGTGGCGACGACGGAAGGGCTCTGCTGCTTGAGGGAAGCGCGCCGCCATGAAGACGCCAGGACAAGGGGCGCAGAACACTTAACAGAAGTTTGAAGCGAATCTCCTCCGGAACGTCGGTTACTTCGATTAATTTATTGTTTCTGAGCACTACAGCTGATGCGGTCATGAATCCCGTTGGTGTAGCCAATGTGTTAACTCGGGAGGTGGCAGTGTACCTCCCCTTCGATTTTGTAATTCAGAGCCGACCTACACGTCGGAAGGGAAGAGCAACAGGCCGTTAGAATTCTCAACCAGACAGCGGCTGAATTCCACGCAGTACTATAAGAACCGACATTTCGTTCTATCTACAAGGACTGTTGTGTGTCATTTCGACACTATCTGTTTACGTAAGGTTCATTTGTAAATGTTATGTTATTCTCATTTACTGTATTGCAAATAGAATAAGTGCACCTCTGTCTGGTGTATTCAATATATAATAAATTTAAGAAACGTTGGTGTAAAATTGGAAATAGTGCCATACAACTAGCAGAAATATACGCAATACAGAACATTGAAAATATGAAGTGAAATATTAATAATTCTCTCTCTCCTCTCCTCTCTCCTCTCCTCTCCTCTCTCTCTCTCTCTCTCTCTCTCTCTCCTCTCTCTCTCCTCTCCTCTCTCTCCTCTCCTCTCCTCTCTCACCTCTCTCTCCTAGCCTTTCTCTCTCTCCGCTCCTCTCCTTGGATATCCAATCCACTGGGCAATCCTTCCTTTTCACAAGGCTAGTAGCAGTTGCCCTTTTGTATCAACAGTGAATGAGAAGGATTAGCACTTTTGCATCAGAATATATTCTGCGTCGGAGACTATCGAAAAGAAGCGGAAGTATCCGGAGATAGCTGACGCCCCCTTATCTTCGTGCATTGAATTTCCAGAAGGCAAACCTTGTATTTTTCTTATCAAACTGAAAATGGATATCCTTATAACCAGAGGTAAAATATTCCTTCAAGTAAACGGAAGCAGAAGACCCAATACGAATTTGTTACTTCGAACTCTCGAACATAAATTGTGAAAATGACACATAGCGATCGAGGAATATCGCTAATCGATTTTAATTGTTTAATGTAATTAATAATGAGTTGTAAGTAACGTAGTCTTGTTTGGTTAGTGATTCCGGAAGCGTGAACCGCTAAGGTCATTATTCTCGTAAGTGTAGTGCATGTTTCATCCTGATGTGGCGGAGATCTCCTCCCCCCAGCTGGATGCTGAGGCCGGTCTCCCGGCACATGTAGTGGGTATGTGTAAGTGAAGGATGAGGATGTGCCATTCGCCTGGTATTAATCTAAGAAACCACGGAAAACTACCGATCAGAGCAGACGGCCGTTTGAATTCTCCTTCAGACAGTGACTGAATCCGACCTAGCTGATAAGCTAGTGTCGAAAAACCTGCCATCGTCGGAATTCGAACTTAGAACCTCCGTGGATCAGAGGCACTGCAGTGACATGCTCAGAGCCACCTCTTCCGGTGAATTCTTGAAGTGAGCTGTTAATACCTACACCCGTGGAATACAATTTCTATGACGTGTGTTGTGATTATAAATATTTGTTTTGCATAGAAGGGCGTTCCGTACGTGCGTCAGTTATGACAAAAACCACAGCTATTTTTTTCTCTCGACTCTCAAATATAAAATATATATTATTTCATGTATACATTAAACTAAACCACTGTGAACTCATACGTACTGTGGATATTTGACTTTTCTTGTAAAGCTAATTGGTTTTTTAGAAAATAATTCATTACTGAGGGCGATGTTGATAAAATTTTATTTAATAAACTAATTAAACTAGCGTGCCCGTGCGAGAACTTTCGCAAGTCAATCCCCACCCTTTCCCTGTCAATTTCACTATCCTTTCCATTAAGAAGGGAAGTTGTTTATAAATTGTCATTATTTGTTAAAAATGTATAAATGCAACTTTGTACTTACAGAATATCAAACAAAAATAAAAACAATGTAAATGATATCAATATCAAAATATCAATAAAGGTTATGATGTGGATGTGTTCTTCGAACAATTCACTTCCCCTTAACACATTTGCAGTAATTATTCAATCGTCCTTGACAGTTAGCTTTTCGCTTTCCTTGATAGTCTCGAAACTATTAGAAAAGGTTTTCATTCTTGATAAGGCAAGTAAAGTTATCGGTGCAGGATCATAATTTCCATGCAGGATATCAAAATACAGGATCGGGCGAGTGCAACCCTACTTTTGCAATATTATTGAACTTTCCTGGATTTATGAGGAACAAGGGGTTTTGAAGGGGGAGGGCGCCACCTAGCGGGGGTGCGAAATTTGAAAAAATATTTATATACTAAAAATTATTGGATTATTTTCTGCATTCTTACGTATCGCAAGAAAAGCAATTCTGAGCCAAAAAATAATAAAAGTAATATTTTAACCTTTGAGTAGAATTTGTTACCATTAGAAACAATTCAGTAGACTTCACTCCGGTACATAGGAATATTGCTCAAACGATGTTTTAGTATTGAATATCTTAGCGAATCGGCACCTTATGTTTAATATCAAACTGTGTAGTATTTACAATATAAGTTAACTGCTGGGTATTGCTGACCAGACTTCCAGATACCACCAACATTTAAATCGTGCGTCTGGATTGTGATCGTTGGAAGCTGTCGAATGAATTGCGCTATACTTTCTACAATTTTAAATTTGGTTGCTTTTTAAAATTAATTTACGCAGTATTGTAGGCTAGTGCCTTTTTAATTTTTGTTCATTTATTTCAAGTATTTAACTTTAGTTAATTTAAAAAGTTTGGGTCATAGCAAAAGGATTTCCCCTACTACCTTGCCGTACCCGTGCGAGAACTCTCGCATGTTAAACCCCACACTCTTCCCTATCCTTCTATTTTCACTCTCCGAAGAAAGCTATAAACGAAACTTACTTATTTAAAAATGTATGAAGGTGACTTCCATTGTACTAACACAAAATAAAATAAAAACAATGCAATTGATGTGGAAAAGAAATGTTCACTTAGGATTTATTCGGTATTCTCAGTCGTTTTCTTGGAACAATTCACAACACTACCTTAAAAATATTGATGTAATTTTTCAATATTCTCTGTCAATTAGCTTTTCGTTTTTCGTAGTAGTTATAAAAACATTTAAAACGTTTTTTACTTTTGAGAAAGCTACGTGACTAAACACACTGGCTTGAAAGTTTCACCGAATCACTGTGGATCACGAAAATACTGGTACTGGTAAAACACAAACCAAACCTAACAAGACACGTCGTCACTTTTCACTATATACCCACACCTCTCCACAATTAGATACACAGCACTTGTAGACCTCGGCATAATGCTAAATAAATGCTATCACTATACGCCTAAGAAACTATATTAATCGATATCAAGCAACTATTAATAGAACTTTTAGTTGTTGCTGCGAGAGAAAATCTTGAATTAATAACTATGCAAATAAACCTCGTTAGTTTGCGCAAAGCAAGGTGTACACAAAGCGTAAATAGTTTAAGGTAAAGGGATACGTGAGGCATTTCGAGTCGATCGTCGTTTTGGATAATCTTTGTTTGAGTCAACTGTGTGCTCTCTGTGTGCATGTATGTGTGTGTAATTGAGGAACTGAGTCTCACGCCCTGAATAGTGGTGCAAGCACCGGGATGTGACCAAGGTGACCGTGGGCAAACGTGTATGTAGTGGTACAAGGCCAAGATAGGTCTCTGCGAAGTTCGGGGAGCGTGAAGTTGCAGGCTTTGCGAATGCCCCCAGAGGAGAGGCGGCTACCGCTTAGTGCTCTTGGAGGTCTTTTAGGTGCCGATAGTCAGCAACTGAGAAGATGGCGAAGCAAAATCGAACAGCCACCCACACTCCAGTGAATAAGAAACTAATTGTAAAGTGGTTGTGCTATTCTGTATAAGCATGAGACGCGTTTATAAGCGCGCTTCGCCTGCGTTTTAATGTCTGCATTAAGAAAGAACGTCGAGGGCTTTTGTAAACTGTATCACTGCTGAATTTTTATTTCGGATCCATCCAGTCATAAACGTGACAGGTGTTCCTTCTGTGAGTCTCCACCTGAAACCTGTTTTGTCGAGCAGTGCTGCATGTTGCGGTTCGAAGGTCGCGCGGAGGTCGGTTCGGGAGGGGGGGGGGCGATGGGCGAGACTGTGGGCGGCGCGTGTGGGGAGCTCCTTGCGATCCGATGCCGCTAGGCCGGAAACGCGAACCGTTGCTGCTGGCACCGCCAGCGCCCACACCCTCGAGCTCAAGTGCAATCGTATCCGATGTATAGTTGGATCCCCAAGCTTGTGAATGGGAAAATTGTCTGCTCTGATAATCTTGAGTTTCTATTTTCGTTTTTAATTTTTTAAATAAACTGGAGACACTACAACAGCAAATACTTTCTCGCAATATTGAAAATAGATACCTCGGTTACAACTTCAAAAAGTCAAATTTAACAACTCCAAAAAAGTTCCTGTGGTGCATACCTGCATTTATTTCGATAGCCAGGAACAGTAGACATTTGTAACTTTTACAAATGAAACAAATATTAATTAATTTAACTGTTATATTATTTGGAGCACAAAATACAAAAAAGCAAGAATAATTTTACACAATCATGCTTTGATTTCACTGAAGTGAGCTTTCAGTGTTTGAATACCATAATCATGCGAACAAACGTCTTACAGTAATGAAGTGTCTCTTAGTTCTAAGTTATATTTATTACCTTCCTTCATTTTATTTCCTTTCATGAGAATGTTATCTACAACATACAATTATCGCGACCAACAACAGTAGGATGAATTCGAAGAATTTTGAATACTACCTGTTTCGATTTTGCAAATTGACCACGCGGTAAACAAAGCGCGCGAAATCAAAATTTAAATTTCGAATTTTTTGCAACTTTCGAAAATACAAGTGGTAGCGCCGAAAACCAGCATCATTTTATTTACCATACATTGCTTGGTAGTTCACGAAAACAAATTGGAGTAGTTTGTTGAAAACGTAATGGCTCAAAGTGGTTTTAAAAACGCCTATGTTTCATGCAAAACACATTCATTGTTTCAAAAACGAGAATATGGTCTTATTTAAAGACACTGTCACGCAGGAAAAATGTGTCATCATAAATGTAGTTGTAGGAAGGCGCCGAAAAAATTGAATTGTTGTCATTTTAAAAGAATCGTGCATTTCGTCGTAAAAAGACATGTACCATTCTCGTAAGTGTCCTTTCGTTATCCAAGGTCAAAATTTTATTTAAAAAATTTGGTGCTATTTTTAAAAAAGTATTGATAATGTCCCAGGGGCTTCATCTTCTAGGAGCTTCTGCTTCTTAGAGCGGTTTCTGAGAAATTTGTTTTGTAATTTTCAATCGCAAAATAGGCAAAAACTTCTCCTTTTTTGAAAAATTTGTGCATAGCCTTTTCTGAAGATAATTTTGTGCAACAGACTTTGCCTAAGACAAAAATATTTATCTGCAATGCAATTTTGAAATTTTAAATATGTTTTTCCAATTTTCGAAAAATCTGGGATGTCAACGAAAATAATACCTATACCATTTTCTTAATGTCCCTTGTACTATTAAACAACAAAATGTAATCAAAAAATTGGAGTACTTTGTTTGAAAATGCCCCAGGGGTTTCATGTAAAATACCCCCTATATAAAAATTTCGGTTTGAAATTCCAGGATCCGCGACATCTGCTAGAACGATTGGGGAAGATCCGTTTTGGATAAAATCGTCTGAACGGTTTATACGCTAGCGTTGTGCCCAGACGGACAGACGTTTTGCCTCAATCAATTTTTAGCTATCAAGGACCCCCAAAACATGGATTCTGGCTACACCATATGTTAGAGGATTTTTTTTCTCTACTTAGTAACTGGATGTATCCACTTTTTTCTTACCAGGGCCCGGTAATAAGAGTTTTTGTGTTGTAAACTCGCCGTTTTCCGGCGTACGATTACAATACTTTCTCTTCTTACGTTAGAAAGTGCAAGAAAATAAAATGAACTGCTTCAATCCATTTTCAAATTTGTTAACACTGGTTCAGGTGACAATGGAATATTGGTTAGCTGCTTCTTTTTAGATAATACTCGTTGCGTGTCCTTTAAAAATACTTCTTTGTTGCCGGAATTATTTTTTTCACGTCTGTGAATTTACATCTGATATGTTCATCAACACGTTACAGTCCATGAGCCAAGCACATCAAATGGACTATGTTAGGTTAAAACATCTTTAATGCAGAAACTGCTTTAAGCACGTATGCAGCAGCACTAAATAGCATACTAGCACATTTTCATCTTTCACCGTTAACACTTAGTCCATTATTCACAAATCTCGCAATAGTCCCTTGATTTGCTTTGTCCAGTTCTTCGCAGTACCTTGAGCATGGCTTCGAATCAAGAATAGCTTTCCTACCACACCAGTAGTAGCATCAACAGCAACCCATATGCAAGAATCTCCTATACTAATGGGGAGAAAGTGTGTGCTATTTTAGCTCCACTAGTTTAATATAATATTTGATATATATTGTCAAAATAGCAATAAATTGGGCAGTATTTTTTGTATGCAATGGTATATTGATCATTAAATCGATCGATGCATATCCGGATTTCAACCCCCCAATCGATCCCTTGATCATCATTGACCTTTACAACATCAGCCCTTGGGGGAGGGGCTCGATGTCGACCTCTTTGGTAACCGTGTTGCAAGCAGTTGCTACACAAGTCGTTGAATCCTCCAGAATATGGAGATCTCCGAACACCGCGCGACTTTTTTCTTTTGAAGGGAATGAGAGAGTGGGAAATGGAATTTAATGTCCCTGAAAGAACATCAGATTACTGGCAATTCCACAGTTCTCTTCAAATAAATTATATAAATTTATATTTTTATCTCTTTTATAAAATAAAATGAGAGCGATTGCCTTAAATAATTGCCATAAGCCACAGCAAAGATGAATATTTGATGAACTACAAATGCTTAAAAACTTTGCAATGCCTGACAGCAGGAATAAATCACAATCAACTTTTTTTTACTTATGTATGATACATTTTAATGTGAATGCTGGTGTGTAACAAAGTGCGGAACAAATTAACATTGCCACGCAAATAAACAAGCAGAACACCAAAGAAAGGCACTATAAGCTGATCGAGGTTTTCAGATCTGTCATGTCCAATTGAAATCACATGCAAGTTAACTTGATTATTTCAAAACTACTTTCATTTACTCATTCTTCACTAAACACTCCCATCTTTCACGAAACACACATTCAGCATCAAGTTGCACATTATTTTGCAGTTGCTGTTTTTATTAACATTTTGCAAGTGTAATGTTTTCTGCTAGTTTTGACTGAATTAATCAGCAACTTCTCTCATAAACACATTTCAACATTTTTTATAAACAAATTTACTGCATATTTTCTTCAACAACGAAGTATAATTATCAAAATAACAATGTTTCAACAATATTTCAGAAGTTTGAAAAATTCTTTCAGATTCCGCACATTTACCAAAATGCTGCAGAATACTCGCAACTTTTCCAAACTAAGCTCCCTCACACACACACACACACACACACAAACCTGCAATGAATCATAAATTACAAGATAAAAATACTTAAATTATTTAAGAAGCGAAATATGGATGTAACCTCAAAAGATAATTTTCTCTCTTACCACTGAGTGACAATGAGCATTATCATGGGATAGAAACAGTCCGATGGATCCAAATACTCCTTTACCTCAAAAACTTAAAATACGTAAAATTTTCTCCAAAAGCATAATTTCCATTGATGAGACACTATTTCACACTCCGAACTGTACTGATGACCCGGCAGGTCCGGCAGGCCCGCCACCGCGGCCAAGCCGCGACCCGACTAAACGTTTTGGCTCCCGCCAAAGTGTATGGGTGGCAAACCGTACCACACAAAATAGGTCTATTTCACAAACTGCCGCTGAGCATTATGTGTGGTTCTGCGCCCCATGTACTTTCCAACCATCTGGGCTAGATTACCATTACTATCAACCATGGGAACGTCATCGGTGATAATTATGGCCACAAAACATATTTTGATCGTCACAACTGGAAGACACGTTACCACAGGTTTGTGGTTCACGGTGAAGTGGTCATTTATTCAGTGTAGGGAAAATATTATATTTGAATTAGTAATATAATTTGAATTAAAAAATATGATGGGTTTTTGTATAAAAAAGTGCGGACAATAAATTCATTAAAAATAGAAAAGAAAAATAAGCTTTTCTCGTGGACGTGTGGGTCATGAACCAGTTAAAAATTTGTTTTGTACCAAATAATTGTTCTACAAAATGTACATTTTTTGGCTTTTTACTATATTTCTAGAACCTTTTTTTATTACGAACAATGCTTGAGTAGCTAATGAAAGTTGTATGTTTTTTGTGTACACGGTAATATTAAAAAGTTTCTGCAATTAAGAAAATGACGATGAAATACCAACGAATTTGTTGCGCCGAATTCGCATCTCCCCCTCACTGTGAATTTGTTGAGTCCGCGATACACGATGCACTCCTCAAACCCTTCTGAAAGTCATTTGCGCTTTATGAAAGTCTCTTTTCTTTCGCCAAAGGCGCTGCCAGTCCAGTACTCTCTACACCTCCCCTTCCCACCACAAGTGACACTTCCCGCAATGACTCCCTTCGCAGCGGGGTGCGGAGATGCGAGCATTCGCGCCTGTCTGAAGCCAGTTAACAGCTGGCATTTATTATTCAGAGCGACTCGCAGGTTAACGCATTGAACAATAAGATAAATATTAACTTCACTCCGATATTTGAACTTTCTACAAAGAAGCAGTGAACTTGATATTTTTACTAATAAATAAGTATAGTATATAATCCTAATTATTTGTATTGAATATTTTGAGACCCTCTGCAGCCGACTGGTTTACCCATGCGTCGTTAAAACGACACTTTATGAAAGTGATAAATATATGCAAACACCTACCATATCCGGTACACGTATATCTATAACAAAAACAATAACTGATCTTTTTTGTTCCTAGATGGCGATGATTGAAGCTGGTTTCAAGGAGGAGACGGGGCTCACCCACGAATGCGGCGTGTTTGGGTGCATCGCGGCCGGAGACTGGCCGACGCAAATTGATGTAGCTCAAGTTATTTGCTTAGGTCTGGTCGCATTGCAACATAGGTACGTCGCTACTCATTTATAATTTTGTTTTCTCCTACATTAATTACCTAATGCGGCATTCAAAAACTTTCTGTTAGTGTTATTAAAACAACTTCGTATTACTTTCTCGCTACCGCTTACGCAGTAGAGCAACTACGGAAAAATCGATTGAGGGCAAAACGTCTCTTCGTCCGACTGTGAACAATGCCTAGCGCCTAACTATCTATTTTTCTCCAAAATTGATTTTCCTTAATCGATCAGGCTGATGTCGCGGCCCCTTGAATTTGAGACAGATATTTTAATTGAGGAGGTATTTTACATTAATTGTAAAATACCTTTTGGGACATTTTCAAAATTTTAAAAAGGTCAACGTTTTTCGACACCTGAAGAAGCGCTTGCTGCATTCAGAATTCATGTTTTGGATATACCTCAGTCGGAGTGGCAAAAGTGCTTCGACCATAGGTTCAAACGCAAGCAAAAGTGTATAGATCTTCATGGGGAATATTTTGAAAAACAATAAAGTGTTTTTCGATTATTGATATTTGCTTTTGTTCTCTATTCCTGAAATATAAAAGTCAACCCTCGTATACCAACAGTAGAAAAATCTACCTTTATTTAATTTTATGAATTTAAGACTTTTATAACCTAAATGGAGCGCTTGCCTTTCTTGATTTAGAAACAGGGTTACGGAAGCTACCTAAGCGGAAAAAAATCGTTCTTCTGGAAGATACTTTTTTAATTATATTATTGTATCAACTATCGCAAAGTATCAGAGCGAGGCTCAAATAATTAATATTTCTTACAATCGAAAAACCTTCAGCATAAAACTAGGCCCTCTTTGACCTTGACCAAGTCCCTCTGTATACCTACAGTCCTGCTCCTCCAGAAATTTAATTTTAAGATGACCGCCGAAGTTGAGGAAGCGTGGATGTTTTGAATGGTGTTTAGTTGTGCTGTTATTGTGAACTCATATGGTTGATCGTTTTTGATGTTGATGAAAGAACAATAATAGGCTTATTTGGGAAGTATTGCAATATGCCTCGCAGTTGCTGTGTGTTTGGATGCAAATCCAATTATAACAAAAGGGAGCCGTTAGTAAATACATTTTCATTCCCGAGTGATGAAACCAGAAGAAAGCTATGGGTCAGATCTATTAATCGGACCGATTTCCAGCCCTCGTCATCGACAGTCGTGTGTATTAAGCACTTCGATGAAAAATTTATTGTTAGAGAAGATAAATTTCCTTGTAAAGATGGATCTTTCATAACTGTACCTCGGGACAAATTAAAATTGATTGAATGTGCTTATCCCACTTTCCAAAATCAGCTTAAGTACTTATCCAAATATTTACCACGAAATCGAACAACTACTAGTGAAAGAAGAGAAAGGCTGAAAATACAAGATGAACGTAACTTCTGTGAATAGTGTGAACAAAAGATTGAATCATTTGCAGCCTTTCAGACCGGACTGAAGACTAGAAGTGTGGATCCTTTTTTAGGTACTGTAAATAGCGAATTTGTTAGCTTTATTAGAATTAAGGATAGTGATTTTTTTGTGCCAGAACACTTCATAGTTTAAAGGTGTCTAGTTTGTTGGAAGTGAAGATTTTCCATACAAATTTGAGCTTGTCAATTAATACTTTTAAGTGGATGCTTAGACCAAATTTGATTATTTAATTACTCATTTGGCGAGTTTCGATCTTCAAGAATTATCAGCAAAGGAGAAAGTGAAAATGAATGTAAACTTGTTGCAAAGTGTTGTATTCCTGAACCTGAAGATAGCGATATTGTAGAAAATTAATGTTTATTATGGCCCAACTATAGAGAATGGTGTATAGAGAGGGACTTGCCTTGACCCGCCCGCATTGCGGGACCGAATGTTACGCCTCTGCCACTGGGATTCGCACGCACGTGCTTAGGTGTAGCAAGCTGTGACCGTATCATCTGTACCAAATTTCTCAAGCAATCTTCCCGACACTTTCAAAAACAAGTTGAACAGGTGCATCTCAAGTTTAAAAAAATGACATTATACGAATATCTATGTTTAAAGAACTGGTTTCTAAACGCCGAAAAAATAACTTTTACAATTTTTGGCAATTATGTGTGTTAACTGGAAATTGGAGTTTTTACTTTCCCGCTGCCGCTTACACGACAGAGGGAGAGGGAGTGTTATGTAGTGCTGCGCGAAAAACCGGTAGTTTTTTAGAAGAAACATCCTATTATTAGTAACACAAAAGTGGATAAATCCAGATGCTAAATTAAAAAAAAAATCTTGAACACGTGATGCTAAAATCACATACTGTTTTTGTAGGTCTTTGACGACGAAAAATCTCATAACGGCAAAAAGTCTTCCCGTCCGCCCTGTGTCTGAAACTTTCTCAAAAATGGCTCCAAATTATTCTTTAACTTTCTTGTAAAAGTAGTTATGTACTCTTCTGGGCATGGCATAGGTCAGATTTTCACAGTTAACTCTAAATTTTCGAAAATTTCAAACGTGAATGTTTGTTTTGTGTCTTCTTAAAACTACAAAATTAAAGACAGATTTTTCCTTCAAATAAAACTTGTTCTCCACAGTGAGTTCTTTCATTATGATCATGTACAATTTTTTGCAAATTTGAGTAGTATTCGCGCAGTATTATGTGCAATTAAAAAAAATACAAAAGCAAGATTTTCTCAAAAACTGCTCTTTTGCTGCTGCTGCATTTTAAAAAAATGGCTCTAAATTTTTCAAAGAAGTTTGCTATTAGGGTGAGGTTTTACTATTTTTTAATGTTCTGAAAGTAATATTTCCGTTCTACTTTAATGAAACCGAAAGATTAAGAAAATTTCAATTTAAAAAAATGTTCTTTGGGCGGCGATATATGGCAGCTGGCAAGAGTATGTGGCAAATTGGAGTAGCTAACTGAGACGAAAGGAAGTAGAAAACTAATACGAGAAAATTTGTGCCATACTGTCGCACCACTAGTTATTCTTACATTCGAGCTTGTGTTATTCATTTACCAATTAATCTTCAAGAAATTATTTATACCCTATTTGAAATAGATGGAAAAAAATTGCTAGGTGTCAGAGAAAATCAATTAGAATGCAACAATGGTTCACCAGATTTACCTGTATGAAAAGCAGTTGTAATTGTCAAATTTGTATTGAAATTTGTTTGAAAATATTTAGTTTTTGCTCTAAATGTTCGATTTGTAACGAGTTTTACAAAAACGTATGACTGAGATGTGTTAATTCGGAGAGAAATTGTGGTATAAATAGTATTACATAACTAGTACACCGTGCAATAAATGTGAACTTAGTGTCGTGCCGCGAAATGAAGTTACGTGCTTTTTACTAAAACTCATACGTTGATTACGAAAATCAAATCAAAAATTTTCCATCACGTACCAATTTTTCTGGAAAAGATACGCCTTATACCACTTTCAAGAAACTTGAAAACGACTTGGTAACAATACAGGAGGAATCTGTACGTGATTAACAAGCAGTTCATGTAACAAAAATTGTTTGTATTACATTGTTATATGATTGTTTGTATTACAAAACATAAAATGAAAGCCGTACGGGAAAGCTGAATAAAGCTTCAAATGTGCTTACTACTTAGAAACTTTTCCTGGAAACTTCACGTTTGTGGGTGGATGGTGGAACTTCTTGTAGAGTTGCCACAGTAATTCCGCCAAAGGTTTGGTAACCATCTCCCTTTATCGTCTTTCCATAGCAGCGAGATCGTGGTAAAATCGCTCGCTATGTTCGTAACTCAATCTCATGATTAGGTGGAAGGAAATCTAAATGGGAATGAAGGAAATGTAATTTCAGAGACATGTCAACCGTAGCATTGTAACAGTCCAGCATGTATTCCGTCAGTCCCTGTTCTCACACATTACATTTCCCAAGAAATTGTCCCATATATCTTTCAATGCAAGCCAAGCCGCTTTCTCAGTATCTGTCAGCAACTGTGCAAAGGTAGTATCTTTCATAAAGTCTCGAATCTGAGGCCTAATGAAAATTTCTTTAATTTTTACAGTACTAATTGCAGGAAAGTTCGATAGTAAAAATTGAAAAACCCGGCCACTTTTGTCTATTGCTTTCACAAAATTCTTCATAAAGCCTCATTTCACGCGGTGGTGGGAACAGCACACTGTCTTCGTCAACAAGGAGTTCATGTGACACATTTTTTCACCGGGATTGAACGTTTCTCTCAAAGACCACCTTTTGACTACACAATGATCTTTCCTTGCCCTACCATCCCAGTGACAGGAAACTGCAATATTTTGTATAACCAGTCTGCACTCCTAGAAGAAGTTCCAGAACTTTGACATAACCAAAGATTTTCCATTTATGATTTTAATAGCCAGTATACTTCAGGAGTATCGTCATGTTCTCGTAGGTTTCCTTTAACTGAACGGAATGGGCCACTGGTATTGAAGGTTTCTCGTTTCCGTTATGAAAAAGAACAGCTTTTAGACTACTCTTTGAGCAATGTATTAATAAGCGCCATTCTCCCGGATTGTGAATCGTCCAAAACTTTATAATCAGCCCAATTATGTCATTACAATACACCAAATTCTGTCATTGAGAAAAAAGTGGAGAGAGCAAGCTGTCGATTACGGACTGTAATACTAGTGTTTGGTTGTAACAAGTTTTTGTTATTTAAGGTCGCATCAACTACTAGGTCATTAGCGACCACTATTGCTTGTAACGGTATGGTAACTGTGGGTTGACACGATAATGATGATGATGATAGGGGGTGAAAGGACGACACACACTACAACCATGCCCGAGGCGGGACTCGAAGTTCGTTTCTTGAAGACGAGATCCAAGTAATTCTGCTTGCCTCTTAGAAAGATTTAGATCTCTTACAAGATCGTTCAATTCTGCCTTCGGGAATGACTGTGATTGTAGCCGTGCTGGAAATGGCGTGTAGTAAAGATCTTCGTAATCTTCATGATTGCTTGTTTGATCTGACAATGTCCATTCCGTAGGTGATGTTGGAACTGGGAGAGAATCAGAATGTGGAACTAGGCGCATTGCAAATTCCAAATTTGGATAAGAAACCGTTTTGATTTTCTTAATATTCCTTTTACTTGCGTCAAACAAAAGTAGCAATGTGTAATGTGATCTCTAGGTTCTCTCCACCACTGTGCGTACCGCAAATGCATAGATGGGTGGTTCCCATGCAAACCAATCTCCCGTAACATAACGCCGGGAAGCAACGTGGCACAGTCTCGTGGTGCCCAATACTTATTCATCTACCTTTTGCCTTTTTTTTGACGATCGGGGAAATGGCGTTGTCTTGAGAATTTCGTCCGTAAATCGCCGCGCGCGCGGACGCACCGCACCGCACACACGCACGCACACACAGCACACACACACACAGCACCCACCCACACCACACACACACACAACACACCAGAAAAAATTTGGTGAATTAACACGCTTCCTAGATTCGCTAATAGTAATAAGAAACACGTACACACACGACAAAACAATAATTATTCAGGTTAACGGCATTAACACTTTTCAAAAGAAGAGTATTAGGGATCTCACCATTGGATTGTCTAAATGCAAACTGCAACTTCCCTTTACCTGCCCCTAGTGGCTCTCTCTTTCTCTTCCCTCTCTACTCCCAGCATTAAGCAATAATTTTCCTAAAATAACAGAATGTGATATGCGTCGCGACAACATAAATATCGCAGTCGAGCGCAGGTAAAATTGCGATTCCAGAAGAAAGTTTAGGTGATAGCTGTCATCGCTGACACTCAATTACATAACAATCTCATATTTTTGTTGTGCGTCAAATTTCATTGTGTTATTCATGGCGAGAGTACTTGGTGTTTGAGCATCACTAATTTCTAAATTTAGCAACTGGATTTATGCACTTTACATAATTTTCTGTCTTCTGCGTAAGCGGTAGCAAGAAAGTACGAATAAAAGATGAATTGCACGTGAAATTGAAAGTGCACGATAAAGGTCAAATCAAAATGACAATTAAAACATTAATGGAAAATGACAAAAAAGACGTTTAATAAAGATCAGTGATTTGGTGATTGTCAAATGTTATCAAAGAAAATTATAATTTATTTTGTTCATGAAAGATTACACAGTGTATATTTATATACATGTATGCATAAAAATTGAAATACTTAGACAATTCTGTATTTATTTGAAATTATAATTATAATAAATTAGTTGAATTATATAAGTTATTCAGTGATACATGAAACCAGGGGGGAAAGTGTTAACTCGGGAAAAATACCGAGAAAACAGGGTTACCGGCGGTGGTGACCGGTAACCCAAATTTCAATTCAAAATTCAATTCAGGGTGCTGAATTGAATCGTTTATTTCGCACACACGTCAAACACCAAATTCCTTCTTTCGAGAAAACTGAGTATGTCCCCCCCATTTTTCAGATTTGAAATTTTTTCAAGGAGTTGCTAAATGAACTTTGTTCATATACATATATGCAATAAACGGTGTGTCTATCCTCGTGGAACAATAATCCGTCGCTAAAGCGTGTTTTTTATTTAGCGTTCAACGGGTTTCTGAAATAAACTATTCAATTAAGATGCAGCTAGTTTATCAAGTACAAAATTGGTATTCCCCTTAGAGTACTTCAAGACCGTCGAGGTCCCCCACTCCGCTCTGCGTTGAGACCCTCTTCGTTTGCTCCCGTCAGTTTGACAAGCCCATCGCTCTGCTGTGTAAGCCGATGGCGCTTTCTACAATTATCGTGGAGATACGAAAACACAAGATCGCAATGTTCATGCATAGGGACGCTCGGAGAGTTTTAAATGCAGTATAGATCATAAGAGTGTGACATTGGCGCGCTGCCTGACTTGTAACGATGACGTTAGCCTGTGATCTTTGATTTCAGAATGATTTTAAATGCATGGATTGTATTGCAACACTTTCAATATTGAATGACATGAAATATTGTCAACATTGAATGAAAGTCTGACTATTGTATGAATTGAAAAGGAGTATTCTCAAAATATTCTAAGATTTTTTTTTATTATTATCTAGAGATTGTGCAACCTAAGAATATGCTTGGGCCGCTACTGAAGGCTTCAGTACTGTGCTGAAAGAGATTAATAAAAATATCACCACCCACTGTTTTGTTTACCAACTACTATATCTATACTAATATAAAATTATATTAGTATGTCTAATCTCCTAAATGGCAGAATTGAACTTTCACAGAGAATGGTCCTTTCTCTACTGTATCTTAATATTGGGAAGCACTGCAGACACTTAATGTCAGAATAAAACTATTTAGTTAGTCAGTTATTACGTAGGTGAGTAGAATGAAACTGCTATAAAAAAATCGAAAACCGCTCCCATTGTGATTAGACTCGGTGCGCTTGCACGTGGACTCTCCCGCCATCAATTGGCGTTGGTCCCGCGGCTCCTCGTGATTCAGCGGCGCCATACAAGTTGGCGGGTTCAAACCCGATCGAAGCCGTGGATTTTTAAGGGCGAAAAAATCCTTCGTACACCTTCCTTCGTCCTTCGGAGGGGAAGTAAAGCCGGCTGTCCCATGTTCGTAGATTTACTTGCATGAAAAGATCCTCAAGCCTAAATGACGTCTCTGAGCTAAATTCAAATCGCCTGTTTCTCGCCCAAGAAATACCTCCTTTCTCTCCTAGTTGGTGAAAGGAGCGTAGCGAAATTTGCGTGGTCAGACGGAAGAGCGGGCCTGATGGCCCGAGTCTCGCCACGTAAAATAAGGCAAATTTGCAATTTCAATTCAATTCAATTCAATACGGGCGTTTCCAATATGGCGGCATCTCTGTTGGAAAACACCAAATAAGAGCAGTGTGGAATGATTTATTTTCTACACAGTAAAAGCACGAAACCAAGAGAAATCCATCGACGCATGTTGGCACGGTATGGGGCTGCATGTGTATCGCAGAGTCACGTGAACGAACGGGTTAAGAAATTCAGCAGCGGTACCAGTTTGTCGGAGGAAATTATTCTGCAGGATAGACGGGTGACCATCTATGTCATTGGGACAGCATTACACATCTCTCTCAACTTGTCCATGATCGGTTGAAATACCAGAAACTGGCCTCAAGTTGGAGCCCTCTTAATGAAAGAGAGGCTTGTCATTGGCAGGAGTTGCTGCGCGCTACGAACTGGAAGGTGGCCCGTTTTTGGAGCGGATTGTGTCTGAAGTGGAGTCCTGGGTCTATCACTTCCAACAAAGGACCAAGCGCGCCGGTTTGAAATAGTGGTACCCAATATCGCCAAAGCCGAAAACGTTGCGCAGCCAGACATCCGCACAAAAGGTTATGATGTCCGTGTTCTGGGACCACAAGGGTCCCATAGTAGAGCATTACATGGAAAGGGGTAAGGCAGTGACCAGAGCCACTTATAATGAATCGGCCCGTGACGTTATGAAGCCTGCTTTACGCACCAAGCGCCGCGTACTCTACAGGCGCTCTCATCCTCCTTACTGTCGCGACCTCGCGCCCTCCGACTTCCACATATTTGATTCATTAATGGACTCCATAGGTGGCAACCAGTTTGCGACCGACACGGAGGTGAATCACACGGTGCATTAGTGGCTGCAGGCACTGCCAATTTTTACTTCTTCCCAGAGGTATCCATTCCCTTCCGACTTGGTGACAGAAATACATCAAAAAGGGGACTACTGAAAAACCAGTGTCCTTTTCCAACTATACAATACAGGAGCTGTAAAAATGAAAGAAGAATTAAAAAAATCCTTAATTCACTAGACTCGCCCTCATACATTGAAATAATATATTTTGATAATAAATTATTGAGCTGTAAACTCGGGAAATTTTAAGCATATCAGATTAAGTTTTCAAACTTCTACCAATATTTATTTCATTGGAAAAAATGTGTTATGTAAGTGTAGGATTACTTTTTGAAATGATTATATGATTAGTGCAACCAAATCTTGTGGCTCAAGCCCGAGTACATATACTTCTCATATACCACATCAGTTTTGACTCCTTTTTCGTGATAACTAACAAAAATGTTTTCTTTCGAAAGGGGTCAAGAGAGTGCAGGAATTGTCACAAGTGAAGGCTACAATGCAAAGTCCTTTCATGTTCACAAAGGAATGGGAATGATAAATAATGTTTTTAATGATGATTCGATGAAAAAACTTAAAGGTATGTGATATTATGGTTTTATTGTGAGCACATTATAAGATTTTTTTAACAATAATATATTTATAATTGAAATGTTATCTTTTACCTGACCCTTTGAAGATCTAGATTAACGTGTTGTGGATTTTTTTAGGTAATTTGGGTATTGGGCATACTCGATATTCTACAAGTGCTGCTTCAGAAGAAGTAAATTGCCAACCATTTGTGGTGCATACAGCTCATGGTGCATTGGCTGTTGCACATAATGGTGAACTAGTTAATTGTAGTTCTCTGAGAAAAATGGTGTGTTAATTTTATTATACGTTAAGGATTTCAAATCTTTATTGTGTCAAAAACCATGAAAAAGTATTTTTTCTAGGTACTTGCACGTGGTGTTGGCCTCTCTACTCATTCTGATAGTGAACTTATTACACAAGCCCTCTGTCTTAATCCACCTGATGGTGAGGTTAATGGCCCAGATTGGCCAGCTCGCATTAAGCACCTCATGCAATTAGCTCCTTTGTCATATTCATTGGTTATTATGCAAAAGGACAGGATATATGGGGTGAGAGATCCCTATGGAAATAGGCCTTTGTGTATAGGAAAAATTGTTCCTGTGAAACTAAAAGATGGTAAGTATTTTTTTAGGAAATCTTATCATGCAAAAAGAAAAGCAAGCCAAGAATAAATTTAAATAATTTAATTTATTTGTTCATTAGAAACTACACTTTTCTTCACAGAAGGAATATAAAATTTATACTCTATTATATGAAATATTTCAGGTCGAGAAAATAGTGATGATGAAGAAGAAGAAGGATGGGTAATCTCGTCAGAATCATGTGGTTTCCTGAGCATCGGGGCAAGGTACGTTCGTGAAGTGTACCCTGGAGAAATTATAGAATTGACTCAAAATGGAATAAAGACTGTAAGCATTGTACAACGACCCAATGCAAAACCTCAAGCATTTTGCATTTTTGAATATGTTTACTTTGCTCGTTCTGACAGTATATTTGAAGGTAAGTAAGTTTTTAAACATACAAATAGCAATACAGCATTCGCTAGTGGCTTACAACTTGCCAGAGAAAAATGTTCAAATTTTATACGATTATGATGATGATGACGATGACGATGACGATGACGACGACGACGACGAATACGACGACTTGAAATATAAGGATATGGAATGAATCTGAGGTTACAATTGAATGAGTATCAAGTTAAAGAATTTTATTTACCTAATAAACAGGGTCTGAATTCTTAATTGGTCAATCGCATAGAGACCAACAAGTTTTAAAATATTTCTGATTTTACAAAGAGCAAATGAAATAACTGATATGAAAGCTTTTCTTATTAAAACTTATTGGTTTAATATAAAAGGGATAGCAGGAAGAGGTGGGTCTGATAGCTTGTAACGTTTCACAGTTTTTATAGAATAATGGCCCTAGTAAAAAACAGAAATGTGAAGAATAAAAATTCTTGTCACATTTAAGCCAAAGTGTTTGTCATGAATTGTTATGAGTTCAGCAATTCAGGTACTTTGATGCCTTTTCATTATTTTTAACATGTAATTTTTTGTTTACACATCATAATTCTAAAATAATTGTAATGATTATAACTTCTAGGCTTCCAAGTTTAAAAAAAATGTTAAGTAGAAAAAATGAAAAATACAGGCTCTATCTTTAGAACATACTGTGCCAATTTTGTGGAAATATGGTAACAAAGGTAGAATTACTAACTTTTTAAGGTTTTAACTTTGACCACTAGGGAATCTGAATTGCTGTTGATATATATAGCCTTATGTCCTTTAAAATTTCCCAAACCTGACTATTTTGTTTTGTAGGTCAAATGGTTTATTCTGTGAGAATGCAGTGTGGTAGAGTCTTGGCAAAAGAAGCTCCTGTCAAAGCAGATATTGTCAGTTCTGTACCAGAATCTGGTACTGCAGCTGCCCATGGTTATGCAAGAGAAGTAAGCAATATTTTGTCATTGTTTTAAGGCATTTAACTTAGTAATTTGTTATATGATTGTTGTTTTTTGCAGTCTGGCATTCCTTTTGCAGAGGTGCTATGTAAAAACAGATATGTTGGTAGGACATTTATTCAACCCAGTACAAGATTAAGGCAATTAGGTGTAGCCAAGAAGTTTGGAGCATTATCAGAAAATGTCAGAGGAAAGAAAATTATTCTTATAGATGACTCAATTGTTCGAGGTAATACGATTGGACCTATCATCAAACTTTTACGTGATGCAGGAGCAAAGGAGGTACTAAAAATTTTCTGAGCTTTCTATATTACAGAAATAATTATTCACTTTTATCCCATTTACTAGGGACCGGATTTCCATGCAAAAGCACATTTTCCTATTATTTAAACATAACTTTATGACACATATTTTGTCTTTTTCTTAATAAGCAGCTTTTTTTTTCCACTCACTAATTTTCTTCATATTTAGTGTGAAAATGTTAAAATTACTTACATTTGTTTTAATAAATTAATTTTGAATTTGGTATTGTGTTTTTGCATATATAGTTCATTGTAGCGAATTTTAAAATCCTTTATGTGAATTTTGTTTCATATTTAACAGTAAAATCAAAACAATTTTTAGTATTATATGCTATCTATTTTGAAACATTATTAATGCTGATGAACTAACACAGTAATGTGACCTCCAATGTCTCACCAAGGAGACATACTCAACAAATGTTGTTCAAACATGTCACAGCAGTTAGTAGCAGAAGCATGTTAGCAGAAACTAATATGTACTCTTTAACTAATACTTCTCTTTGAATTTACATTCAGCGGTAACTGTTAAAGTAAAGTGCCATATAATTGTTTGTATTATGATTTAGAGAAACAGTTGTGATAAGTTAATAATACACTAAATACATCATATTTCAGTGCTCTATAAAATTGTAGTTTTTTAAAAAGTTTTTACTGCACATGTTCATACACATTTTGTATATTTTTAGTGCTTATAAATCCGGTCCCTACTTATTACACCTTTAGTTCACAAGAATTTGAAGATTTGTGTTATACAAACTATATAATTTCCATAAAATTTGAAATAAGCCCCAGTTACTTTACTATTATATCATAGTTTATAAACTTCGTTAACTTGTTTGTCAGGTTCATGTACGTGTTGCATCCCCACCTCTACAATACCCATGTTATATGGGAATAAACATACCCACAAGAGAAGAATTGATTGCTAATAAATTAGATTCAATCAAATTAGCAAAACATGTTGGTAAGTATCGTGTAAAATGTTTTTAGATTTATTATTTTGGAATGATGATCGTAAAAGAAGGAAATAAGATTGAAACAAACTTTGCTTCCCTGGATGTCCATGAATAACTCATTCACATTTGTTATTAATTTCATTAAGCTCTTTATATGTAAATATATAGTGCAATTTCAATATAAAGTACTTTACAAATAAATCACAATGTTAACTGCAGGGGAACCTCACTAATCTGAACCTTGCAAATCCGAAATTTTGGATAATCCAAACAAAATTCAAGATGAATAAAAAAACAACAAAATAAATAAAATGTTTATTTGTAGAGTGAAGAATTCATTTTGTAATTACTTACTGTAGAACTGAACAACTATTTATTGAAATACAAATTGTCAAAATAAAACATTAATTACACTGGTAACTACAGAGTTTATCTCAGGTTTATGTAGCAATAGTTTTCACTTAGAGGAATTTGCGAAAATAAAATTGGTAATCTTCTTTTGTCGTAAGGAACTGAATCTAGTTGATTATGCGATCACCACGCTATGTTGCCATTTCTGACATCACACGCTATTTTGCATTGTCTGGTAATCATACAGTACATTTGTACTGGTTATAAAAATACATTTTCTTCAGTTAAAGTAAACATTAAGTATCGGAACAGACTACACACCCTAATTAGTTCAGATTATCTGGGTTCTACTGTAATTTATTTTAAATTGTTTCCCCAATAAACAAAAATAATTTTAAAAAAAAATACATATCACTCTTTAAAATACTCTCTGATGGAAGTTTGTTTTGTCTTTTTGAACAAGTTACTTTCCGCAAACAGTTCTGCCTCAAATATGTTCTGTCTCAAGAATATTTATATTTCTCCTCACATATACTTTCAACTTATCAAAACACTTCACTGCCTTTGTTGAAGACACTGTTTCAATCTTTTCTTCTACTTCTTCCTCCTCATTATTTTCTTGTGATGTAGTCAAAGATTCAACAGTGGGAGGCAGTAACTTAAGTCCCAGTATCAATGTTGATGTAATCATATAATGTTACAGGTGAGGGAAATTTTAACTCTGTGCAAATTATCTTCATACGCCTCAGCCCCTGGCAAAGCACGGTCTTCAAAATTCAAAATTCCTGACTTTCTCCAACGATTGTCAATTGTTGCCTTCACAATCCACTTACCCCCTGCCAACATTTGTTACCAAAATCAACATCTTGCAACCCTTGCAAGATGTTGATTTTGCTTGAAACTTTAAATATTTCTTATCTGCTGAACCAGTCGTTTACAAAAGTAGATATTTCCATTATGAATGGTGCAGTAGTGCAGCCCTGGTAGCCTTAGTAGCTGCAGTACAGAAGTGCATTTGGAAGGGAGAATTCAATATTGATATTTTCCAACCTGCAGTTTACTTTATGATCAATTATCTTCAGATCAATTATCTATCAACAATATGATTTTTCTTTCAATTTTACAATATCTTTGTCCAATTCAAGAAGAATCCTTTGGTCTCCATTCTTCCTTGTGGTTGTATTTTGTGCTGGCAGAGATGCCACACCTTGGAAACATTTCGGCTTTATGACATGTTTTACAACTAAAGGCTTCAATTTTTTAGTTCCGGTGTCATTACAAAAAATAATGCTGTAATCTTTCTTTTGGCCGTTTTCCACCTACACACTTCTCTCCTTTGTAAGATATGGTTTTATTTTTGGTAACATGATAAAAATATGGTGATTCATCTTCATTGGAAATAGCTTTAGGGGCATACTTTTCTATCATATTTTCCAGACGATGATCCTTCCATTTTCAAGCTGTGTTCATGTATGTAGCTTCCTCAACAAGAGCCTTCCAAGTTATGCCATATCGCTTGCGAAAACGAAACAGCCAGACAGCCTGCCAGCTAGCACTTACTTGAAAATCCTTAACATCTATTACTGTTGCAAATTGTCTTACTTTTCTTGTATCATTGACCCAGAAATACGTACCCTACAAGATCCAACTTCCTTATATCAGGTGTCTACTGCCTCTTCCACTTAATGAAAATCCCCAGCAACAACAGCAATCCCCTAAACAAATCTTCTTTCGGTTGGGGCATATCGCCGGTTGGTACATACATTTTTAGATTTTTTTTTTTTCTTTGCTCTTTAAAATTTTTAAAACTGAAGTTGGCTTTGTGTCATACGCACGTGCTACATCAACCTGCTTCATTTCACTATATCTTTTTATAATCTCCACTTTCTGTTCTATCGTGAACTGTTTTGTTTTTTTACTTTCCGTTGCGATAAAATCGGGTCATAATTTTTATGAATACCACTACTAACTACCACAAAACGCTCTCAGAAAATTGTAACCACCATGACGCGTGTTTGCAACCAGTGTTCGCTACAATTAACAAGACATTAAATTAATTTCCAGAAGATCGTAATATTTAAAATTGAAAAGTCGCGATTCCCCCATCACGTGATTCAAAAAGTAATGACTTCTCCTTCTCTCAGCAGTGATTTTGGCGAACTAGGTCTTGTCTTCATGAATTCAATTGATGTGTAGTAACGATAAGTTACTCAATGCACGTTATGAAATACATAATACAAAAAATAGCAGCAGATTCAATAACAAAGAAACCATAGGCTCCATGCTGTCCCCAGGGTCCGTTGCTTGAAATGCAATCTATGGATATCGTTTAGATCTACACACTTGCATTCAGCTTCTTACGCATGTAAACAACTTCAGTCAATGAGCTTCAATAACCAGTTTGCGTCACAATATTAGTGGGAATTTTAAATGCAGCCAGATACCAAAATTATCACCTTGATAAAATTCATTGAAACAGATATACAATGAAGCATTTATTTTAAATATTGCATCCTTTGCACCATCTTTATTTTGGGTTGAAAATTGTCACTTTATGCCATTTTCAAAATATTTCTCAACACTTCTCGCTCTCCATGCCACATGGCGGTCAACATCTTCTCTGGCTATTTAAACGAAGCTTCTGTGCTGTAATCAAATGGTTTATGACACAAACTGGGGCAGCGTAAAACGAGCAAAAATCGGTGCGCCGGAGTAATTCAACGCCACCTAGATGGATCTTTATCTGTACTGTGATTTATGCAATTCTGTTCCTGGCATGTATCAGCTGTTGGCGGTTTCATCCAGTCGGGAGATTGCACGTCACCATAGTGACATCACTTTTGGATTACCGGAAGACCATTGGATGAAACTCAACAGCTGATATTTGCCAGGGGGCAGAGTTGTGAAAATCGCGACATAGGTGTCATTATGTAACTCGCTCATATCTTTCCATCATGTTTGCCTTGCCTCATAATATCAATGCCCATCTCGATCAGGTTTTCGTTTAGTTTCCCTGATCCACGCTGAGATGGCCCCTTATTTTCCTTCTGGACATAAATATAGCTTCACAATACACACGTTTTGTTGAACTCTTTTGCTTGTAATGGTAAGAGTAGAGGTAAGGGCAAGTTGCTATTTTGTTAGCAATGCAGAAAAATCATATTTGCAATTCGCATATCGATGCAAGTGAGTTTTCTATAATTCAGAAACAAAAGTGGCTATTTTTCAAATAATGCTAATCTTGAGATTTTTAAAATTTATTTTTATTTATTTATGTTAAACTCATACTCATCTTTCGACTATTTATAATCAAAATGACAGGAAGGGATTCTGGAACTTAAGAAAACATGCACAGATAATATTTTCCCCCCATGTCACATACAGTTTTTACTGTTTTTTACATAGTTTTGACATGTGTTTAGTTAAACTCTATTGGTTTTCATTTCACTGGAAGAATAATCATGATAATTATCAACAATTTCCAAAGCACACCTATGATAATTTTTGTTTGGTAAAAAGGTCTTGGTTTCACCATTATTATATGCAAATATTGATTTATATGGAAAAAATTAATTAAAATGTTGCCTCTTACAGGTGCAAACAGCTTGGAATATTTATCAGTGGACGGTTTAGTTCAAGCTGTGCAGCATGGTATTAAACACAAAAACTCTGCAGTTGGTCATTGTACTGCATGCCTCACTGGTATTTATCCTGAGAAACTGGAATGGTAGTTGGATATAATAAAATACACTGGTAAGACTATGCTTGTTAGAATGTAATGTGTAGTTATATGAATATGTAAGTAATTAGAAAAAATTCAAGTATCATTTTGCTATTATCGTATACTATCATCATTAAATTTTGGATCAATTGTTTTAAATAGAAGGTACTTCAGTTAATATGACTAGATATTCAAAGAAAACCTGGGAGTTCTTTAAATATTTATTTTATTCCTTTCTTTGTTTAAATCCATGATTTGAAAAAGTTAAATTTGCAATATTATTTGGATAATTTAAAACCAGGATTTTGATATAATGTCAAATGAAAATCTCAAAATATTCCTAAACTAATGGTTCAAAAATGTTAGGAACCCAAAGTTTCTTGTAGCAATCTTAAAATATAACAAAATACTTATAACAGATGTACCTGCACAGCATTCAAATGTGGGACTCGCCCAACCAAACATTTTAAAATGTTCATATGCTTCCAGACAGTGAAAGAATTTGGTATGATTTATATATTTTCCAATCCCTAATTTAAATCTCACTTATTTTTTTAAGCGAAGATTGTTTTCATTTTGTATTGTAGAAAAACAATCAGATTACAATTAGTTACTTACATGTCTTACATTCATTTAATCAGTTTGTGCACAAATCAGGGGTAGGAGGCGTAATGTGTTATTTATTTGTTCTGTTGAGAGGTTCTAGTCAAAGTGATCCTCGGAGGTTTTCACTTTCTATTTGTTCTCCCAAGCATAAACAGATACATCAGTAAACAATCAACTCAGAATTTAAGATCTATAATTGATTTTATTATATTAAGACTAAAACCAAAACTCTGATAAGATGTAAGAGTATTGAGATGCGATGAGTGGGGATGAGATCATCATTTACTGGTGTCCAGAAGTTTCTTTCCTTTTAAAAGTAAAAAAAATGCTTACAAAATTTAAGGTGGTAATATTTTTAAAATATTTATATATAATTTATTATTTGCGAAAACCTTCAAGAAGACTCTACTTGTTTTCTTTATAAAATAAGATTAGCCACGAAACTGTGTGACTGCACATGATTCTGCTAATACAATGTATGAGGTGGTTAAGAAGAAGATAGGTGAATCTGCATTTGAGGCATTTGGGGAAAGATAACATAATATACAAAATAAGAAGAAAGATTTGTGGTGGAATGGAACTGTCGAGGAGTTAGTATATAAGAAGAAAATGGCATATAAGTGGCTTGCTACAAAACCTGTCAAAGACCTTCCCTATATAGAGATAGGAAGGAAAAAATAAAGTATGGCAAAATATAGAGAAACACCGGAGCAAATAAAGCATGGGGTATACTGAAGTCATTGAGAAAACAAAATAATGGCTTTGTAGAAATTAGGCCAATAAGTATGGAAGAGTGGAGGGAATATTATAAAGCACTATTTACAGAAGATATATCCAATTGTTTTCTGGATAAGATAAATGAGAAGAGTACAAATGAAGAAAATGTACACATCATACCAGGAACGACTCGAGAAGTAATCAGAGCTGTAAAAGTAAGAACTGTTAAACATCTTGTTTTGGTGATATATGTAATGAATTAATAAATTCCGTATGAGATCCTGACCAAAATATATGTCGGAAAGGGGATGTCGTACCTCGGGAGTGAAAAACTACAATAATTACTTATCTGTATAGGAAAGGTAATAGACAAGGCTGTTCCAACTCTATGATGGAGTCAATGTAATGCTGTCATTAGCGAGGCTTTATGGCCATGTTATGAAAGAAACAATTGAGAGGGAAGTGCAGGATTCTGAAGAGCAAAATGGACTCCGACCAGGGTACTCATGTATAGATAAGATAGTTACATTATGAAACCCGATTGAAAAAAAGAGTATGTAGAGGTTTAACAACTCATTTTGCTTTTGTAGATCTACACAAGGCTTACGACACAGTTCCACAAAACAAGTTGTGGACCAGTTTATAAAAGAATGAAGTGTCGATAACTTATGCCGATATAGTGCCGAAAAATAATTTTACTGCAACTGTATGGGCATGGTCAAAAAGGGCAATAAAGTTTCCTCAGAATTCCTGGTTACAAAGGGCCTTCATCAGGAAGGTACTATGGCACTGGCGCTTTTTAAAATCTATTTAGGGGAAGCCCTTGGAGAATGGAAGAGGAAGTGTAGTGATATGGGCGTTCCAGTCAGTGGTGAAATTATGTGTACCCTACTCTTGCTGATGATCAGGTCTTCGTGGCCAAAGTTATGGATGACTTCAGTTATATGCACCATCAGGTTAAAGAGTAATATGAAAAATGGGGCCTAAAAGATTAATATGTATAAAAGTAAGTATCTGAAAGTGGGAGATGACGAGAAGGAAGAGATAGAGACTGAAAAAAATTTGAAATATTGTACAATGTTTAAATAATTAAGGGTCACTTTACCATTTAATTGTAAAAGCAGTGATGACAATCATAAAATTGGATGAGGTAAAAGAATGATACAGTAACTAAACCCCCTGTGGAACGATACAATAACAAAAAGAACAAAGCATATTATTTACTCCTCAGTGGTTGAAAGAATCACTACCTATGGAGCGGAAGTAAGGGATCTGAATAAAAGAGGACAAGACATACTTTTTGCACCTGAAATGGATTTTTAGAGAAGAAGCAGTGGCACTTCCATACATGGAATGAGAAATTAAGGGATATTACAGGCATTAAACAAAACTGAAACCAAACCCATCCTCTAGTATGGAAAGATATTCCTGGTAAACATCAAGATCGGTAATTTCAGTACACGGTCTATCAAGGTGTCTGCTAAATTAACTTTGCAGAAACTAGCTTCACTGAGGTTCAACCACGTATTAATTACATTGAGGCTTCTCCTCAGAGCATGTAATAACCATGTACATTTTCTCACAGCTTCAAAGAACAATTTTCGATGTTTTTCCTGAACGAAAAACTGAGGAATGGAGCTAATTTACAAAAACATGTCAGATAAGATATTCATAATACCCAACTGCATGACTAGCTTCGCCCCTGTTTAAGCAGGAAGTGATTCAAAGCTTTTTTCCAGCTTTGCTAGAATGCGGAATCTCTAAAAAGAGTCTTTTCTTGACAGCTGCTACACCGAAGGATTTTGTTGGTACCTTTCTTATATTCATCCCCTTAGTGCATGCTAGTCTTTATAAACTGTGTTGAGCATTGAATGATCCCGAAGAGTACTATAATTGCCATTGCAGTTTTCTTGTTATCTTGGGGGAATTGGCATTGAATTTGTGTGAGGAAACCAGCTAAGATTTGTACAATTTTAGAAAACTCGAAATTAAGTTATTTGTGATGTTGATGTAGATTATCTAGGATTGCCATAATCTAGCAATGGTGAATTTATTAACAGATTTGTATGTTAATCGATCATTCATTGCACCATGGATTTTTATGCAGGGAAGAAATTGCTTCCTATGAGTCAAAGATCATCCCAATGTTGTGAATCAGAAGCACAAACCTTTATGAAATTTGTCCCTAGAACCTTTTGTTATGTCTTACCCATAGCAGGATTCTCTTACAAAACAATGTAGCACGAAATCAGCGGTCATCAAAATTACACCCATTATTATTGACGGAGTGCAAAAATTAGGGAATCTTTCTGTTGAGCATTGAAGATTGGGCCGACAAACTGCAAATACCTTTATGAGTTTGTGAGATTCTGAAACCGACAAATATTAAGACTGCTAGCACACCTAGACATTAGAATCTGCTTTTAACATTAGCAGGATAGGAAATAATTTCTCTCTCTCCCTCTCCCTCTCTCTCCCTCTCTCTCCTCTTTCTCTCTCCTCTCTCTTTCTCCTCTTTCTCTCTCTCTTCTTTTTCCTTCCTTCCTTTTTTTTCCTCCCAACCTTACATAAACTGTTCAACTTTCAGTGCCATCGACACGCTGGTATTCCTTAGTTATTCACGTGCGAGACGAGCCACCATCCAAATGGATTGTCCTTCAGGCAGAGGAGTGGTCCCTTTTATAAGGCAGCAATGAACATAAGATGATATCTGATGAATTTATGAAGTCTCGCGATTAGCGTGCTTGTGAATAACTTAGTTTTCTTGAAATCATTTAAATAAAATACATATTGTAAATATTAAATTTTCGTTATGTGCAACATTTTTCTAGTGAATTTGCGAATAAAATACTAGAAATTGACAGACTTGAGCATCCTCTTTTACTTCTAGATCAGGGAATCCCAAAAGGGTCAGTAACGACTCCCTGGGGGTCAATGATCAGGGATCGTTTGCGGGTCAATAACCGAAAGTAAACCGGCGATTTGCGATAATTGTGTTTTTCTTGTATAAAGCATCCAAACATTATAATAAACTACGTTGTTGTTGTTTTTTGTTTGTTTGTTGTTGTTTTTTGTTGTTTGTTTTTTTTTTCCCTTCAATATCAGTCGTTCATCATTATGAGCAGGAGTGAAACTAAGTTGGTGTAACCCACATACTGCATTCAAGACCCTGTTAAAGCTCCCAGCGGACGGAGAACTTCAAAGAATTAAACAAATTGCATTGCCCGCTTATTCTCTCCGTTGTGTCATCCATGTTTGTACTTGCTCGAAAAATGTTTCAAACTTACATTTCACATTCAATAATCACAGATAGATACTCCACTCAACTTTTCTGCTTCCAAGTCTCCGAAAAAAAGATTCATATTCACATTTGAAATTTCAATTTTGTTCAATTCAAGCACCTAACTACACCACTGCCAAGGATTGTTAGTAAATTCAAGACTTTATATCTATATATTCACAACGTTACTTCATTCAGCAAGAAAATGTTCTCCAGAATAAGCCCTGGAAATAAGTTGTGGCCACACTAAACATTTAGTAACCACTGCACAAGAGATTAAAAACTCAAGATACTTGCAAGCGAAAGCATCTTTGATTATTGAAAATCCAAATATTTATGAAGATATTGGCGTACGAAATTGTTATCTTTGAGGCAGTTGTGTAAAATTCGTTTGTGTTATGAAGTGTTGTTACGGTGTATTTTTATTTTAGAGAAATGTGCATGGGGTTTGACAAAAGAAAAAAGTTTGGAATCCCTGCTCTAGATACTATCTAGGCACTCCAGATCTCTGAGACTCCTTTGTATAAATTACTTTGGATGCAGATTGGTGCATCAACAGATTAAATGGATGTTTTGTTATGGGTAGCCTATTTGTGGGTAATTCAAATATTTTTGTATTCATTTCAGGACCACAAACTGAACAGGTCCACTGTTTTATGTGATATTTGAATTGGTGTTGGTTAAAAACCTCCAGCTACTTATCCAAATCATAAGATACATTACCTGATTACCCACTGTTTCCAGTATTCTCTCCTTGGGGATTTGAGGGTAATCTTGAATCACAACACCCCTTATGATTTTCCTCACTGTCATTTTTCCAAAATATTCATGCAAAATTTGAAAGCAGTAGCTTCAGGGGTTCAAACGTTTTGCGGAACATAACATGCAAACTCGAACTTTTTATGAAATAAATTATTTCCCCATTTACTTTCATGTGATTATTTATCTTTACAATTACACAAGTAGGAACTAAGTTGAATATTTAATGAGTTTTAGAAATGTTTCTTTAAAATGTTTTGTTTCTTAGCTATTGCAGCAACAAGAAGAGAGCATTGAAATTCAATTTCTGTGGAAAACATGTTCCAGGATGCTTTATTTATTTTCCCCCCCAAGAGAACATGGAAAAGTTTTAATTAAGACTACATTCCATTTTGCTGAGAAATGTTTGATGTCTGAACTATGAACAGTATAATTTTCTTCGGTTTTCATTTGTTTTACGTGCAGTGTATTTTACTAGTGGATAAATGGAGATGTGTAATTGTCTATTTTTCAACTTCATTAACTTCATTTTCTTGACTGAATTGTTATGATGTAAATGCATTTATTATTAATGGTGTTAATAAACCTGTTCAGTGTTATACTACATTGCACATATATATTGTTAATTTTTTGGAATTTTTTTCTCTCTAATTTTTTTACATTTTTGCAACTGCTGTTTAACTGCAACTTAAACTGTTAGTAAATTATTTACTTATTTAGTACAATTTGTGCTGAGATAGCACTCTGAATAGTTAACAAACTTATTGTAATGGTAAAATTGGGAAGTCAAGTTTCAAGTTTTGTCTTTAGTAGCATGTACTAATCTAACAGTATTTATTTATTACAAAAGTGAATGTGCCAAATAATCTAATTACTATTCAATATTCAAACTTCACCACATTAAAAATTACATTGTGCAATTCCAATTTTCCAGAAGGATTGTGAATCTAATGTATTTTGGCCTTAAGTAGTTGGCATATCTCATTTTAAACAAATATATAATAAATATATTCTTAATAAAATGTATTTTTAAGATTTCAGAATTTTAAAAAAAAAACTTATTTTTAATAAATCTTCAGTGGTTTTTCTTTATTTCTCCCCTAATGTACAATATTTTCTATTTACCAGGTATATTTGGAGAAACTTAAATAAACACATAATAGAAGTGGTTATCTGAGAAATAGGATTTGTTTAAGGTACAATAACCAATAAGACTAGCCGTACTTTGAGGAATAATGCAAGATAATATACTACTGTGGCATTCAATAATTTTATTTAAGTATAAATGATAGCCACATCTGAATGAAAAAAATAAGAGATCAAGGGAGACTTTATAGAACATACTTCTACAAGAAGCCGATTTGAGGTCAATAAAGTAACAGTGGACACTGCAATGTACCATGCCAAAGTGTGGCTCACGGTGGTCTTTCCACCATGGTGCAGTATAACTTCAATGACAATAGATGGAAGTTTGGCTGCACTTGCATTTACACTAAAATCTCTCACGATACAATTTAATATATCAATAAATGCTTAGATTAGTTGTTGAGTCAAGGAAAATTTGTAAAGGAAAGACGCCTCTACACCCAAGCTTTAATCTACTTCACCTGAGACCGTTTTCCACGGAAGCGTGGACATGGGCGGCTACTCTACAAGTACTTATGAAGCTTTGGTATTAACATTAACTGATTTTTAACTCCTATTTTTCAAATTAATAGAAATTTGTCTTTCAATTCTCAGAAATATTTTAAAGACAATTATACAAGAATGGTATCAGAAAAGAATAAAAACCTACCAGACGTACTGGGAAACTGGAACATGCCACGCCTAGCAACAAGCATGATGACTAGAGCCCAGAAATTTCAGGAAGTATTATACTGTAATAAATCTTAGACTTATACCTATATTTTTAATTTAATCTATTCCTAAATATTTAAGTATTTACTGAGATTTGCTAGCAAGTTCACATTATTTATGTCAATATCTCAATTCTTTGCTGTAAAAGGTTTTCTCAATCCCTTTCTGTTAAAAAAAAATTATGCTTATATCTATAGTTTCTATTGCCTTTCTCTGCTCACAAATCTCAACATTTACCTTCTAAATATTTTGACTTATGGGTATCAACATTTGACAACTGGTTACTTGCTTGGTCATATGCAGATGTCTGCTTTAGTAACAAACACAGTTATGAATGTTTTAGTAAAATATGCAGGTGTTACAAAATCATCCATACCATACAGCTTTTGTTTAGCTAAAGAATACTTTGATTGTTAAGTAATAGCAACTGTAGCATCAAACATCGTCAGGAAAGCAGACACTACACAAAAATAAAAACTTTTTGCACATTCTTCACCAAAATGTACAGTCACTGAAAAATAAACTCGCTGATATAGAAATATTACTTGAGGAGAATCAACCACATTTCAGTATAATGCTTCTCAGAACACTGGCTAACTAAAGAACAATTAGAAAACACATGTATACTAGGCTTCTCTCTAGCCAGCAACTCATGTCAAAATATCAACAACGCACATCATGCATATGGTGGGACATGCATTTTTATTAAAAATACAATTAGTTTTGTACCCTACACAA